CATTCTATTCATGTTATGTAGAGACATGCGACCTATTAGTATAGTAGAAGGTGAAGGATTTTTATATCTCATGAAAAAAACATCACCATTGTACAAAATGCCATCAGCTAAAACCATGACCTTAAGATTGGAACGTAAATACGAAATGTTAAAAGCAAAATCTTTAAATAGATTAAAGCACGTGGAATTTTATTGTATTACAGCAGATGTTTGGACTGATCATTCAAGTCAAAGCTTTTTGGGAATAACAGTTCATTTTTGTGAAAGTACCAACTGTGAAATCCAAAGTTTACGTTTAGCATGTCAACCACTGGATCAGCGCCATACAGCTGTATACTTGGAAAGTTGTTTAAGGCAAGTGTTTCTCGATTTTGGAATAGAGATTGATCGAATATCAGCTCTTATCACTGATGGAGGATCAGCGATCATATTAGCTGCAAAAAACATTGTGGGCGAGTCACGACATATTATTTGTAAGGCACACACTGGGTCACATATTTTACCTGACTCAATTGAAACAGAACCTGTATTAGTCAAAATTATTTCTAAGCTCAAGCTAGTTGTTACAACCATAAGAAGATGTGTTGCTGCTTCAGACTAAAACAGTAAAGACAAAAAAACAGTAGACTAAAACATAAACTCAAACAGTTACAAAAGGATGATATTGAACGTGCAAAAGATGAGGCGAGAGATGAACAAGATATTGTCAACGTACCATTAAGGCTTATTCAAGACGTGAAAACTAGATTTACTAGCACAGTTATGATTGAGAGGTATATGTTATTAGAAAAGTATATGTATATCGTGATGAGTGAAGCAAGTAATCGTATTGATGTACTGAGCCAAGAAGAAGTAAGAATTCTATCTGATGTTCTCGGTGTAATGCTGCCTACCAGACAATTGATTACGGATCTCAGTGCCGAAAAGAATGCCACCTGTAATTTGTTGATTCCCATTGTTAATTGCATGAATGTCATAATCGATATGTATGAACCTTGTACAGATATTGGAGTTTGTTTCAAGAATACAGTGCAAAATAATATCAAGAAAAAATTATCTAACTTAGAGCAAAATTACATTTTTGCAACATCTACTATTTTAGACCCTAGGTATAAAAGACTACATTTTCAGCAACCAAAACTACTTGCAGCTTCATTAAAAAAACTGAACAACGAATTGGTAGTTCTGTCATCTTCAGCAAATGATAATTTATCAGTCTCAGAAGTCGTACCTCAAAGCAAAGATATAAATAGTAATTCATATAGAATTCTAAATATTTGGAGACATCACGATAGCTTAATGAAACAGCAACAACAGCAGGGAGGTCAAACATTTTTCTCGAGGGACCCTAAGCAATTAGCATATCACTGGGAGTTGGAGCACTATTTACATGCGCCATATTCTACAGATTCTGCAGAAAATGTTTCACTATATTGGGAAAAAAATCGTCAAGCATATCCAACACTCAGTCGAGTAGCTACCGAACGACTATCGATTTTAGTGACTTCAGTTCCTTCCGAGCGATTATTTTCTTTTGCTGGCCACGTAAAATCAGATAAACGCAGCAGCATGACGGGTATGCATTTGAATATGCTGACATTATTGAGTTCATTAAACGAGATAGCATGGTTTTCATAGTTTTCTAATTTTTGGTTTTCTGGTTTGTTTAACTTTTGTCTTTTCTAGTAGTAAAAAAGATCTCAACAATCGACAATATTTATTAATAAGCTCACTTAAAGATTCATACTCATAATCTGCTATTCTTTATTGCTCCATATTGTCATTACACTTACACATATTACATTTATTGTAATATAATGCATCTAATGCGATGTTCTAGGCATTTTAATTAAAGACTATATTTATTTTTTTGATACGAAAAAGCCTGTATGTTATCCTTTCTTCCCTTCCTTTCTTCACTTTCATCATTTATCTTTCATTTGGTTGGTGATTTGGTAGCACAAATAATAAAAACTATATTTTTGTATTTCATTTTTTTTCAGTTTCAAGGCGACATTATTTGTCAAAATGTTGACTTTGCATGGAAAGATTCAAAAGAAGAATATGTCTATAATCATCACGATCAAGTTTTCCTATTCCTATATATAACTATTACATAAATATACCATAAAAATATAAATTCTATTATGCAATGATAGTTGTGATTTATACAAAAAATAAATTTTAAATTAACACAATATTCCCTTATTCTAATTTTTTATATTTGAAATTTTGCGCAATTTATATGGTTATTCTTTTTGTCTTAAGAGCGGGAGATTCAAATTTTAAATTGAAAATAACTTCGATTATTACTCGATTCTTCGATTCTTTTCGTTCGGAATCGATTCTATAGTATCGATTCTTCTTCGGAATCGATTCTGAGTATTCGATCCTTTTCAAGAGAATCGCCGACCCCAAGTCGCAACGCGGATAGGACTAACTTCTATCGTTGCTGGAGGAATACTCCATCTCCTACTACAAGAGCGCGAAAGCACCCACAACGACGAGCGCCCTCACGCGCCGCTCACATATACTTCATGCGCTCAATACACACCCATACATTCTCGTGCGCGCCTGCGCCCTTCCATTACGACGGAACAATAGTGATTTATATCGTGAAAACAATTTTTTACAATATACCAATCGTTAGTGCGTCTCACGCATTATTGGCACCCAACATAAAATTATTAAAAAGTTTATCATTTAATTAATTAAAATAAAATAATACTCTTGCGTATTTAAAAAGGTTATTATGACATTGTATCGCGCATGCGCCTCGAATGGAACATTGTTACTCAGTCGGAGACTCAATGCCATCTAGTAAACCGAAGTAAACTAAATTCAACTGAAGCATATTGATTTAATTTGTGGCGGTTGGTGCAACCAGTGCCGCCATCACCTGGGCACGACCGGAGGCAACATCAACGCCTGCGCTATGGGTTACAGGCTTAAGGAGCCAGGTTTAGGGGGGAGAACAGGATTGGCGCGAAGAGCGAGGCGGCTCAAGTCCTGTTGATGCTGCTAATCCCGCTAAGCCGATCAGCACCCCTAAGCGGCCTAAGCGGCCTAAGCCTTTCTCGCCGACCAGAGCAACGAGCGGCGGTGGCGTTCAACCGTCGCGCTGCTAATATATAAGGGCGACGCGCCCTGCAGCGAACAAGTAGTAGGAGTGATACCGTCGGACTGACCGTGCGTGCTGTTTCCTGGCCATCGCTTTGTTCAGCAAGACCCTTGCTTGCGCCAGGTGCGGCGTATTTTTCATCTGCGACACCTTTGTCACTGGCCGTTCGAGCCAGTTGTTTGTACTCTTCGGCGAGGAATAAAGCACTGTCTACGTCATAATTCTCTCTCACTCTCTCATCGTCCCCGGCGCCTGCGAGTGCGGCCACACTCTATAGAGCTTGGCCAAAGTGGTGACCCCGACGTGATATCGACGCCTGGACTCGATTAAGAGAGCAACAGCGGCACTGCCTCACGTCGACGATGCTCGGCCGAAGCCCGGTGCGGGCAGTAGGTGAAGAAGAGCGGCCGCACCGACCGCCGCCTCAGCACGAGGAAAATCTGACCACCACGCCAACGGACGCGCTCGAGCTCGGCGTTAACCCATTAACGTCCAAAATGTCAAAATTTCTTGCACGTTTTCAAAGTGATTTTTTCCTATGTAATTGGCGTTGAAAAAATTCTTGAACCACATATTCTGATGTAATATTGCATGCTCTTTCAGAATCCGTTGCCAGAATCATGATAAAACTCACAGGAAAAGAGATATGCTCGATTGAAACATAAAAAACACCTAAATTTTCGAAAAAAAAAATTTTTAGGATTTTTTTTCGAAGTGTTACGGTGAAGATATCACCTTGCGACCGTGATCAAAGGTGATAATGGGATTTGAAGTTTAACAGGGAATTTTTTTGTTTACCTTGAACCATCGCTTCTTTACAAAATAGCGGAAAAAACGAATTTTTTTTTTTTCAATCTTCATCAACTTTTTTCTCAAAATCTATGGTCTTTAAAAAAAAATTCATAAAAACAAAAATGCCTTAGAATCGCTCGAGGAACATTCTCAAATTTTTTCAAAATTTTTTGAGACAATTTTTGATTTTCCGGGAAACTTGGGAAATGGAATTTTCAAAATTGTCTCCAAAAATTCTAAAAAAATGTTAGGATGTTTCTCGAGTGATTCTAAGACATTTTTGTTCTTATGAATTTTTTTCTAAAGTCCATAGATTTCGAGAAAAAAATTGATAAAGTTGAAAAAATAAAAATTCGTTTCGGCCGCTATGTTCACTTTATCAAGTTTTTTCTCGAAATCTATGGACTTTAGAAAAAAATTCATAAGAACAAAAATGTCTTAGAATCACTCGAGAAACATCCTGAAATTTTTTCAGAATTTTTGGAGACATTTTTGAAAATTCCATTTCCCAAGTTTCCCGGAAAATCAAAAATTGTCTCAAAAAATTCTGAAAAAATTTGAGAATGTTCCTCGAGCGATTCTAAGGCATTTTTGTTTTTATGAATTTTTTTCTAAAGACCATAGATTTTGAGAAAAAAGTTGATGAAGATTGAAAAAAAAAAAATTCGTTTTTTCCGTCATTTTGTAAAGAAGCGATGGTTCAAGGTAAACAAAAAAATTCCCTGTTAAACTTCAAATCCCATGATCACCTTTGATCACGGTCGCAAGGTGATATCTTCACCGTAACACTTCGAAAAAAAATCCTAAAAATTTTTTTTTCGAAAATTTAGGTGTTTTTTGTTTCAATCGAGCATATCTCTTTTCCTGTGAGTTTTATCATGATTCTGGCAACGGATTCTGAAAGAGCATGCAATTTTACATCAGAATGTGTGGTTCAAGAATTTTTTCAATGCCAATTACATAGGAAAAAATCACTTTGAAAACGTACAAGAAATTTTGACATTTTGGACGTTAATGGGTTAATGCGCTTCGCCATGTGGCGGTCCGCACGCCGCCCTTCTGGAAGGACAACCCGGCGGCGTGGTTCATGCAGCTCGAATCGCTATTCGCCTGCCAGCAGATCAACACCGATCTGCAGCGATACCACGCCACGGTCGCGGGATTGGACGGCGAGACGGTGGCAGACCTGATGGATGTGCTGCGGCTTCCGCCGGCGGCTGGCAAGTACGAGAATTTGAAGCGGCAAGTTCTGGCTCGACACGGCGATACCACGCAGCAGCGCCTGCACAAGCTGCTCTCCGGCCTCACCATCGGAGATCGCACTCTTGCGCAGCTGCTTCGACACATGCGGGCTCTGGCGGGGGATAGCATCACGGATGATGCCCTCCGGATCCGATGGCTGGACCTTCTGCCCTCCGCGACCTCGAGGATGCTAAGGCTCCTACGGAAAGCGGATCTAGACGAGCTTGCGCAAACGGCGGACGAGCTGGTCGACACCGTGCCCGACATCTGCGCGGTGCGCGCTACGCGCGCGGCGACGAGCACCGTGGCCGCGCCGACGGTCGCATCCGACTCCGCTGCGCTGGAGTCGATCAGGGCCGAGCTGACAGCCCAGCGCGGCATCCTCGAGGACATTCGCAACGCGATGAGGAGTGCCCGGCCACGCGACCGCAGTCGGTCCCGTCCCCGGAACCAGTCCACCGGCCGCGGCGACCTCTGCTTCTACCACGCCCGGTTTGGCGAGAGCGCCGAGAATTGCCGCCCGCCGTGCGGCTACGTCGCAAACACTCAGCCGGGAAACCGCTAAGGCCGCCGCCCGTCATGGCGGTCGACGGCAAATTAGAGCACGCCGAGACCCGTCTGCATGTGATCGATCGGGCAACCCGGAGGCCGATGCTCGTCGACTCCGGGTCCGTGGTCTCGCTCCTGCCTCGCTCCGGCGCTCCCGGACGGCACGAGCGACAGCCGCTGACTCTCATAGCGGCCAACGGCTCGCCCCTGCGGACTTACGGGTGACGCATGGTGCGCCTCGACCTGGGTTTGCCCCGGGCGTACTCTTGGCCCTTTATCATCGCCGATGTGCCTGAGGCCATACTAGAGGCCGACTTTTTGGCGCACTCGGGGCTGGTGGTCGATCTGCAACACCGACGATTGATCGATCGGACCACCTGCTGCTCCACGACGGCGCGGGCGCGCCGCGCCGCGATCCACGGGATCGCGCTCATTGTCGACTCCACAGACAACACCGATCGGCGCCGCTTCGACCAGCTGCTCGCCGATTTTGCGGACCTATCCGAGCCCAGTGGCCGAGGCGCCACCTTGCACGGCGCAGAAGTGGCCCATCACATTCACGTGACGGGACCCACCTGTGCACGAGCGCCCGCGCCGTCTTGCCGGCGATCGACTCACCGCAGCCAGAGCAGCGTTTGACCGCCTCCTTCAGTTGGGTGTCGTGTGCCCATCGTCCAGCCAGTGGGCCAGCCCGCTGCATGTCGTGCCCAGACCCAGCGGAGGCTGCCGGGTGACTGGCGACTACCGGCGGCTCAATGCCGTCACGTTACCAGACCGCTACCCGCTCCCGGTCATCGAGGACCTGCTGGAGGACACGCGCGGCTGCTCGATTTTTTCGGTCGTCGACCAACAGGAGGCCTACTACCAGGTGCCCATGGCATCGGAGAATGTGGCGAAAACAGCGGTAGTCACGCCCTTCGGGCTCTTCGAGTTCATGCGGATGCCGTTGGGACTACGTAACGCATCCCAAACGTTCCAGCGCTATCTGGATAGCCTCTTGCGTGACCTGCCGTTCGTCCGCAATTACCTCGACGACATACTGGTTAAGTCCTCTTCGCCGGAGCAGCACCTGCTGCATCTGCGCGCCCTTCTGGAACGCCTTCGGGAGGCTGGTCTCGCGATCAAGCTCCCTAAGTGCCAAATCGCTCAGCGGCGCGTCACCGTCCTCGGCTACGTCTCGGAGGAGGGTTTCCGGCCTCCCGCTCGGAGGATTGCGGCGATTATGGACTTCCCGCGGCCCAATACGGTGCGCGGCCTGCGGCGCTTCCTCGGCATGGTGAACTTCTACCGGCGCTGTTTGCCCCGTGCCACGGAGGCGCAAGCGCCGCTCAACGAGATGCTGAAGGGCAGGACGCGGAGGAATTGTCAGCCGCTCCCGTGGTCGGCGCGGTCCGACGCGGCGTTTCGGACGGTTCGCGAGAGTCTGGCCGAGGCGGTGGGAGCCTCCTTTGTTGACCCGACTGCGCCGTTGGCCCTGGCCACCGACGCATCCGACTTGGCCGTGGGGGCCGCCTTGCAACAGCAGATCGACGGTGTCTGGCGGCCCGTGGGTTTCCACTCACGAAAACTCTCGCCGACAGAACAGCGCTACAGCACCTACGATCGGGAGCTCCTCGCGGTCTACGAGGCCATCCGACATTTCCGTCGTATCTTGGAGGGGCGCGCGATCACGGTGTTGACCGACCATCGACCGCTGGTCTACGCGGCTCACCAGCCGTCGGACAAGGTCTCACCAAGGCAGCAACGGCACCTGGATTTTATCCTGCAGCACAACGTGGAGTTCCGGCATATCAAGGGCGCCGATAACATTGTCGCTGACGCTCTCTCCAGGACCGACACTTCCGCGGTCGCTCGAACACCGCCGGTCCACGTAGCGGCACTGCCCTGCGCCACTATGAGCATGCCGGCTCCGCTGGGGCCGGCGACGATCAGCGAGGCTCAGTATGCCGACGGAGAGCTTCCGAAGCTTCTGGAGGTCGGCGCTATGGATCTCCACCACTACAACCTGGACGGACATCAAGTGGCCTGCGGCATCGCCAACCGAGTCGTGCGGCCCTATCTGCCGCAACCACTGCGACAGGCGGCGTTCGACGCAGCTCATGGCCCGGCACATCCCAGCATACGAGCGACCATCCGCGCCGTCACGGAGCGATACGTCTGGCCAGGCGTACGCAAGGACGTTGGACGCTGGGCGCGAGGCTGTGAGGCGTGTCAGCGAGCTAAGGTTCACCGCTACAACCGTGTCGCGCTGGCACGTTTCCAGGAGCCAGACAGCTGGTTCGAGCACCTGCATGTCGACATAGTGATAATGCCGCAGGTCGGAGTCTGGCGCTACTGCCTGACCATTTTGGACCGCTTCACCAGGTGGCCGGTGGCGGTACCTTTGGCCGACATAAGGGCCTCCACGGTGGCGAGAGCGCTCTTCGACCACTGGATCGCTGACCGGGGCTGTCCGCTCACCATCACGTCCGACCAGGGCACTCAATTCGAGTCGGCCCTCTTCGCGGCACTGGCGCGACTCATCGGGGCGTAGAGGGTGTGAACCACGCCGTACCATCCCCAGGCGAACGGCATGGCCGAGCGTTTCCACAGGACGCTAAAGGCGGCACTGATGTGCCACGCACGTACGCCCTGGCCTGAGAGCTTACCGCTGGTGCTCCTCGGCCTGCGGAACTGCTTCAAAGAGGATCTGCAGGCCTCCCCGGCTGAAATGGTCTACGGCACATCTCTGCGCCTACCCGGGGAGTTCTTTGTCGCCTCTAGTCTCCCTGCAGATCCCGCCTCGTTCGTGTCCAAGCTCCAAGGCCTCATGGGAGCCATCAGACCGATACCAGCGGCGGACCACTCAGCGCGTCGGCCTTTCTACTTAAAGGACCTGGCCACCTGCACGCATGTCTTTCGGCGGGTGGAAACCGTCCGGAAACCGCTCGAGCAGCCGTACTCTGGCCCTCACGAAGTCGTCAGGCGAGTCAGCGAGAAGGTGTACGTCATTCGGGTTGACGGCCACGACAAAACGGTCACGACGGACGCCTTGAAACCGGCTTATCTCGCCTCGTCTGACCGCGACGTCCTGCGACCACCTGGAGCCGGACGAGGGCGAGCTTTCGCCTTCGGCGATTCCATCGCCATCATCCGTTCCAGCCGCGCGTCCACCGCTCGCTGACCGAGCGACGGGCACGGAGCGCACAGGCCCTGCGATGCGGAGGAGGAGGCACGTGCCCAGCATCCTGCGACGAGCTGTATCGAGCCATTCACCCCCTGCGAACGCCTCTGGGGGGGAAGTGGCTGTAGCGGTTGGTGTGCAACCAGTGCCGCCATCACCTGGGCACGACCGGAGGCAACATCAACGCCTGCGCTATGGGTTACAGGCTTAGGGAGCCAGGTTTAGGGGGGAGAACAGGATTGGCGCGAAGAGCGAGGCGGCTCAAGTCCTGTTGATGCTGCTAACCCCGCTAAGCCGATCAGCACCCCTAAGCGGCCTAAGCGGCCTAAGCCTTTCTCGCCGACCAGAGCAACGAGAGGCGGTGGCGTTCAACCGTCGCGCTGCTAATATATAAGGGCGACGCGCCCTGCAGCGAACAAGTAGTAGGAGTGATACCGTCGGACTGACCGTGCGTGCTGTTTCCTGGCCATCGCTTTGTTCAGCGAGACCCTTGCTTGCGCCAAGTGCGGCGTATTTTTCATCTGCGACACCTTTGTCACTGGCCGTTCGAGCCAGTTGTTTGTACTCTTCGGCGAGAAATAAAGCACTGTCTACGTCATAATTCTCTCTCACTCTCTCATCGTCCCCGGCGCCTGCGAGTGCGGCCACACTCTATAGAGCTTGGCCAAAAATTCAGCCATACTAAGATACAATAATTCAACTAAACTTGAAAACAAAACCAATCGTACAGTATACAGATATATTTATTTACTTAAACATGAAAGAGTTACTATCAGACTAGTAATTAAATGTTCAAATTGAGTTCCAATTGCGTAATATATTTTTTATTTACTCAATTGAAAAACGTCCCAGTGTCCATCGCCGAAGCTGATGAACACTGAACGAAAGGGGCACTACGACTGAACTTGTGAACTGAACAACAATACTTCAGTTGAATTTAGTTTACTTCGGTTTACTAGATGGCATTGAGTCTCCGACTGAATAACAATGTTCCATTCGAGGCGAATGCGTGAAACAATGTCATAATAACCTTTTTAAATACGCAAGAGTATTATTTTATTTTAATTAATTAAATGATAAACTTTTTAATAATTTTATGTTGGATGCCAATAATGCGTGAGACGCACTAACGATTGGTATATTGAAAAAAATTGTTTTCACGATATAAACCACTATATTTGGAGAATCAAATTTGGGTGCTAGCACCAGCACCCATAATTAATTTTATCTGTTTTTCACATAAAGAAAATGAGCATAATCGACGCACAAACGACATGTGATTAATTAAAAGCCGCCCAATTGAATGGTGCAATTAGTTTATAGATTTATTTAATATTTCAATTGTTGGGTGTTAACTTTTAAGACCTTCATACATATGCACCCTAACATGTTTATTCGCTATGAGAGAGTTGTTGAATAATAATTTATTATTTCCGAATGAATGACATCACTAATTGCCAAAAAATTATGTAGAAAAATTGCGTTTGCTTTTTGCTAACAATTAAATACATTTTTTGTACAGAAACCACGTTACCACGCCACACAGATACAATTACCAACGAATTAGAAGGTATCAACTTTGAACATTTTTTTATTGATGAAAACAAAATTGCGTGGATTTATTAATAATTTTTGCTATCTTTTCTAACGACACGCAGTTTTTCTGTAATTTTTCTCTAATGATTTTCTTCAATTTCCCGTTGAGTTCTTTATCTTAGGCAGACCGGGGTTCGAGTCGAACACAACAGTATGCGCTTATGTAGCGCTGCTTTTAGAAACCAACAAACATGTAATTTCAGAATATCCACATTCCACCCCAGCGCATCAAAGTAGTGGAATTTATAGTTGATGTTATGTTATTACCGGTATGCATATCAAAAACTATGCAGTTACATTCAATTTATGACTACGGATAGTAATAGTGATTGATTCAACTATAAAAATGTAGTTAACTAATGCAAATTAACAACGTCAAAGACTCAAACGTTCGTAAAAGTGATATAACCAATCACCGAAGTTACTTAACCTGACGTATGCAAATTATTATTTTATTATTTTAACTTCTATTTCTGTATTTTTTGTAACTAAGCAGCGTGACACCTGCATTGCATTACTAATAACCTAAATGACATGTAGTGTTCCTGTGATATTTTTATCAACGAATATGGTAAATAAAGAAAACAAAATTGATTACTAGTTCATACTAACAAATTTAATTACTAGTTCATACATATAGCAAACAAAGCCAACACAATGTATATTACACTTTTCAAAAATCGTATTTATATGAATGGCACAGAATATTATTGCTTTATTTGCAATATGAAGCTGATGAATGAGCAAAATGCAGTTGCACATACATCTGATGAAGTAAATCATCTGCAACAGATGAAAAATGCTGCACCCTTTAGAAATATCAAAATTGATGAAGAGCTGTGCATTAAACTTGTCGAAAATGGAATTGTTATTATCTACAATAAAGAATATAAATGTACAATTTGTTCATGTTCCATTCCAAATATTGATCATGTATCCGAACATATTAATGGGAAAAAACACACCACCAAACATAGAAAATTACTTGATTGTACCATTAACAATGTCAATTTAAATGAATTTAATGATCAAGAAAATACAATCAAATCAGTCTTACCTAATGGTGAACAGATGGATAAATCAGAATCATGTCCTAATAATGGTCAAATTGGAATATCAATCTATTCTAATCAAGTTGACAAGAATTATTCAGAAAAGATAAATTTTCAAAATTATTCTTATATTGGAGTAGGAGAGAAAAAAAAAGACTCTAGTTCAGCAAGTTCCTCAAGAAAAGAAGTTCCATTTCAAGAAAACTCATTTCATAATCAAGTTCCTGTGATAAATAGTGACTTAATTTATTGCAGTAGTTGTCACAATTATTTGGAACCAAATTCAGCAATACGTTATCATAGAATGTTTCATTTGAGCCAGAAAAATTGCAATGCTTATGATATTATAAGTTTTTCTATAAGAAAGAATAATAAAAGTATATATTGCTTAATATGTGACTGTGTGATGAAAGCTGAAAATGATTTGGAGAATCATTTAATAGAAAATAGACATCTGAAACGTTCAATATTGTTCTATTACATTACAGATAATACCCTTGCAAATATAATGTACAGAAATTGTTTAAATGCTGCAGTTCCTCAAAATATGAATAATATTTATAACATATTAGAATACAATAAGTATCTACAGTATATGAATTATCATTTATATCAAACTGCATCTTCAGCAGTAGTACAAAGTAGTCCAATGAACTATAAATTTAATCAACAGTCAATCATGAATTCAAATTTTCCTATTACCCATAATCAAAATATGCAGGTTCCTCTAAATTACTCAGCTTTTCCTTTATTTTTCTGTTTTGTTTGTGTTGTTGAATTTGTTGATGAAAATTTATTATACTATCATTATACTTATGATTATTGTCATAAGTACAGAATGGAAGTCGTAAATATTTTGCTAAAAGATAAGAATATCCAATTTGCTACATTTTCAAACGATGAATTTATAGTATGTACAAAATGCCAAATTCAGATGACAAATGCAAATGAGGCAATCACTCATATTTTTGAATTGCAACATGCAATGCAAAACCCAATTGAGCATAAGAAAACTATAATTAATGATAGAGCTATTCTGGAAAACTCTAATGTATATGTATGTCCAATATGTAAGGTAAATCTAACTGATGATTGCCTGATGATTCAACACATCGAATCAGAGTGTCACAAGAGAAATATTCAAGAATATTACATCAACATCAACAGTACAACATTTAAAAAGATTATATTTTCTTGTCCTCGGTGCAACATGAATTTTTTTAATGACAATACATTTCTTGAACATTTATATGTTGTTCATGAAAAACACTTTAATATTACTGCTAATACTTTAATGAATAAGTCTTACCAATCTAATAATAAACTTGTAGCTGTAACAGAAACTTGTCAGAGTGATAATCCAATGCTCTTGCATAATGTTGATCACACTCTTAATAACTTTGTAAATTTGAATTTGAATAAAGACAGTAATATACAAAGTCTCAAGTTCAATCTAAATAAAAATAATGGTAACCATGAAGAGAATAAGAATGACAAGTCATCTGCAGCAATTCATACAAAGAATCTTATCAACTTTAGTCAGAGATATGTAAAATTGTGTGTCGAATCTGGCAAAGAAAATATTTTTAGAATTAGTCCAGAAAGACTTGAACTGCTAGAGTTAGGTATATATCTAACATTTCCATACAAATCAGGTAGAGGTTGTATTCCTTGTGGATGTGAAGTTTCCAATGATCCTCAGCTTCTTTATGAACATTTACGTACAGAAAAACATGAACAAAATTTATTAGAGATGGAAGAAAACAATGAGTTTTTTGAGAATTATGATGATCAGTTCAGTGATTTAAAACTTGCAAAACAATATATGTATGAAGATTCAGATGAATGGGTTAAATGTTTTGCTTGTGACATTAATGTTGAAAATTGTGATAGAAACCTTTACAACCATATAAATTCTGAATTTCATACAAATAATTGTCAGCCTTGGATAAATTCAGCAAACGATATATTTCAAATTTTTAACAATATGTTCAAAAATCTTTGGTATTACATTGAAAAATTTTTCTGTAATATTTGCTGCAATCATTTTATTTTTGAAGTAGATTATGCTAGACATTTGGAAAGCCCTCAGCATTTGAAAGAAGTAGAAAGTAGAATTCTTAAAAAGCAAAACCTACAATTTGATTATTGCATAATATGCTCATATTTTTGGTATGCAAGATCTGATCAATATAAAATTCATTGTAACAAAGATTCTCATAAATATATTCTCAAATCCCGTGATTTTACTGTGCCTAATATGCCTGACTCAGCAAAAACCATATTGACTTCAGTTGAAAAAACTGTTAATGACTTAATTTTGGAATCAAACGAGATATCTGCGACTGACGGCGATGTGGAAAAACAATTACTAGAATCCGTAGAAGAAGTTGTGAAATTCAAGTATCCAAAAGCTAAAGCTTATTTGTTTGGTTCAAGAATATCACATTTGGGTATCAAAGATAGTGATTTGGACATTTACCTAGATTGTAAAAATCAATACGAAAAACTTAGTTCAATAAATGAATGTCAAGAACAATTATTGGTAGTACAGGAATGTTTTCATAAATATCAAGATATATGGATAATTGAAGAAATAGTTTTACGCACTAGAGTGCCAATTATCAAAATCCGTCATAGACCTACAAATCTTAATTGTGATATATCATTTATAAATGGCCTGAGCGTGGAGAAATCTAAGATTCTAAGGTACAATTTTTTTTGTTCAAGTCATAATAAAAATAAATCTTTTCGTTATAGTAATACAACTATTACATTTTTAGCTATTTTACTAAAGCTTGTCTACCTTGTCGAAAAATGATACTGTATTTAAAAATATGGAATAACTTATGTGGACTGTCAGGAAAAAAAGGCATAACAACTTTTGCTATTTCTTGGCTAGTTATATTTTACTTACAACTTCAGGGATTTCTGCCAAGTGTTTGGAATCTGATCAAATTAGAAAATCAGTCAAACATTATAGCAGGTAAGATTCAATAAAATAAAATTTTTTTAAGATGCTTGATTAAAATAACTATATTATATCATTTTTTAAAGGCTGGGAAACTGGGATATCAAAAATAATTCCAGTCAAGGAAATTGATTTAACAACAAAAGACCTTCTCAAAGGATTTTTTTCATATTATGCTAACTTCGATTACATATCTAGTGTGGCTTGTCCATACCTTGGTCAAGTAATGAAGAAAAGTCAATTTTCACACATAGATAATTTACCTGATGAGATGGATCTTTACAAACTAAAAATTAAAGAAGAAGTGGATTTTTTCCGTTTAGATTCACCAATGTGCATTCAAGAACCAATAGATTTATCTCAAAACTTAACAAAAGCAGTTACCAAATTGCATTTAAGAATGTTCAAACAGTATTGTTCTGAAAGTGCTGCTATTTTGCAAAGTAACACTTCCGACTGACGTGCTATTAATATTAAAAAGTTTTGAAATGAGAAAACAATATAATAGGTATGCGAAAAAAGAAAAAGTCGATTTTAAAATAGCAATGGATATTTGAAAATTAGTCGACTGCTGCAATCATATAATTTGCAGTTGCCTCTTATTTCTTTCATGAATTGTGTACCCACTAGCCCACTAAGATGGAAATTGTATTTTTATGTGCCAAGTTTTACTCTAATTTACTTCATGTATACTACATATCATGTCAATTAAAAATAGACAATTTTAGTATTTTTATATAAAACGAAAATTTATTTTCTGAAGCAACTATTAAATTACGGGTGACGGCAACAAAAAAATATTTTTTCTAATTCCAATATGTATATAGAATTTTCTTATTTTTTGTTCATTTGATTTAAAATATATTTCTGACTATGAAATCCACTAAAGGGTTTCGATTATGCAATCAAGCTAAAAATATTTAAAGGTAACAATGCACTTTGAATATTAAAAAACGAAACAAGTTCCTATCAATGCGTTGATGAATATTTAAGTTTTTATAAGGTGTACATTGACTTATTTTATTTTGAATTACAAGTATTGTTATTGTTTCAAAATTTTGTATTGTTAAAATTTCATATGCGCTTATGATATTGATGTATACACATAAGACATTAACAACCTGTAATTGTGGTTTTTAAAATATTAACATTGATTTCTGAGAAATAAAAGTCAACAAAATAAGAATCTGTCTACAAAAATATTTTTTACTCAAGAAAATTATAACAAACGTTACTACAATATCGCTTAGTTAGTTTTAATTTTTGTATATAGGTCAAGTAACGTTTGCTATTACAATTAATTTCTGTAAATAGTTTTTCTAATACACGTTACATTTCTTTTGTCGATAACTTATAATAAAAAATTTCTTTTTTTATTTTATGACTTTCGAATGAACTATTGCTTATAAATTAATTTCTCTTATAACGTATACAAATGAACGTGTTGAGAGCGGGGAGGCCCAAACGAGATATTAACTTTATTTCTATATAATTTCAAAGACGAATCTTTTCAAAATATTACTTTATAGTAATTTTATTTTGTGAATCAAGTATTTATTAATTACGATTGAAAAAATTACGATATTTTGCAAGATAAAAAAATAGCACCGACCTCAGTGCGTTAAATCATTTATTAACATATTAAAGCAACAAATAACTATAGATGTAATGTCTATTACCAAATTATCTGTCGTTATGAATTGGATAAATAACAGCACGATTGTAACCGCAAAGAACGACGACATCTCCAGAAGGGTGCCATCGAGCATCGAGTGTTGTCATTCCTCGTGGTGTTCTATAGCACAATACTCCGCGAGGGTTCCATTCAAATATAAAAAAACTTTCTGTGAAAATTAATAGCTGTGGATGAATAGGGTTCCATTTGACGGCTACAATCAAAAAAATAATTGTTTAGAAGAAATTTGAAATTTGATAATTGAACGAATAGCTCGATTAGATCAATATATAATGTATTTACTAGAAATTGTATTTTGGAGTATGAAAATATCAATGCCATTAGTTTGAATATCCCATACCCATAACGTGCTAGGATAAACTCGATGTCTTAAGGCTAAATATTGCCCACAACTGCTGAATTCCATGGTATCTATTATATTTACTGTGATTGCTGAAAGATCAGCGCCAATCAAAATGTCAGTTTTGACAATTGGAATATTTACAGGACGATTACCAACTTCTTCCACTTTAAAACAAGCAATGTCCATATATTAATAACTTTTCTGCAATATTTGAAATACACTACAGTGAATAATTTTTAGATAATTACTTACGAATATGTTTTTCATTTGATGCAGAAGTTTTGTCAGGGGGTCTATTTATATCTTTTACGTCTTTGATTATGCACTCTTTAAAAACACGCATTAAATAATTATTTTCTTTAATTGTTGGTTCCAGTCGTAATTGTAAAATCGGTTTCCACGTTAAGCTATTTAATAAAACTACCTAATCATGCAAACAATATATTAATTTCTAATGAACGATGTATCTACATTGTCAATTGCATATTTCAATATCACTCACCACCTCGTTATGGCCTGACACTGCCAACAACTGTCCACTAGGCATCCACTTGACTATTTCTAATCCTCTCAGTTTTTCTTCAAATTGATTGCCCAATGCAATTTGATCAGTGAGCTTATTATCTTCTGAACAAAAAACTCCTTCGTAACTTTCAGTTAAAGTTGAGTAAACAATCAATTTCGCTTGACCATCAATAGAGCACCATATGCCCATAGCTTCGTTGTTTGGCGACCAACACAATCCATCAATTGAACTCAGTCCTTCGCAAATTAATTTCTGAAAATACAGTTTTCTTTTCAATTTTTACATACTTTATTTAACTAAATGTATAAAAAGTCTCTTTTTTCCCAAACTTAAATATTTATTTTAGTAATATGAACATATGAAATATCTGCATTAATTAAAAATAATAAAGTATTTTTTAATTTATTGCTTTGATTTTGCATTTATGTTAATTTTGCAACATTCATATTTATTTTCCTGAAAATAAATATAATTTTAGTACCTAATACTTTGTTATTTTCTATTTTCAAACCAATTTAGCCATAGTAAACAAAACGTCGCGTACTTATCTTTCGCAAAAGTAGCAAAACCGCAAACATTTTAATCTATTAAAAATAATACTTATGTATTATATTAACTACGTAGCTTCTTAGTTCCCACGAGCATATAAGTATTTTTCTCACGACGTAGATCCTTGAAAAGAGTAAAAATAGGTCACTTGAAACAGCTACAAACTCGACAGGCAATAAGTAAATTTAACTTGCTAACGGTCTTCTTTGAGCTGAAATTATTGGAGTTTTCTCGTTCAAAATTTTATTTCTGTTAATCATTTTACACTACCTAAAATTTAAATCAGCTCTAGTCACGCGCCATATTTCGGCTAAGGCCACTAGGGGATATAACACATGCATATATACTATATAGTTCAAAGCTGTTGTCCAACCCATGATCGGCTTAATCTTGATTTTTGAATTAAATTTAGTCAGGTCAGATTCTGATGAGTTATCTCATTACATCGTGAGAAATGTTTTATACAAATAGCGAATGGAAAACACTCATTGGTATGAAATAAATCATTACGGAACAGTTGTTTTTCTTTCAGTCATTCCATTTGCAGGTTAAGCTTCTTAGTTTAATTGGTAATTTGTAATTAGTAAATATGATAAAAACAAGTTACATTAGCTGTGCGTGCAATCGATTACCTCACGTAGTAGATTGGGGACGAAACAATCTTGTGTGCTATGGAGCAAATAATTCGATAGCGATATACAACCCAACAGCTAATAAGTTTGGAAAAGTTTTGTCAACGTTACATGTTCATACAGACAGAGTAAATACTGTTCGTTGGATTAAACCTTGCTTTCCAAATCCAGAAACAGAATTTATATCAGCATCATCCGATGGCACAGCAATTATTTGGCAACTGAATGATGAAGCAACAGGTTCTTTCAAAGCAAGCGATATCTTACGAATTAATGAACCTACAAATATTTGTGATGCAATATATTTGACTGAAAATTCACTTGACTTGCTCATTTGTACTGGTTCTACTGATGGAGACTTTAGACTATGGATAAGAGTAGGTGATCAAGAAATAGAACCTACACAGATATTAAGTTTTTCTAAAAAACTTCCTATTGGAGCACGCTTAGCTCTTATGCCAAATGAACCAGATGGTTCCTTAAATCCGCTATTATTTATAGCAATGGAAGACTCAAGTATTCTTCTGTATTCTACTATTTTTCACAGTGATGATCTAGATCAAAAGTAAGTTGTTATAATAAAAAGTAAAATTGTTTTATGAAGCTAATTATTTTATCAATTTTAGATTTTCATTTCTGTTTATTTCATTTTTTTGCTTTTCAGAAAAATTGGAGATTTTGTTAAAGTACAGACATTAGTTGGTCATGAAGATTGGGTCACATGTATAGATTACATTTTAACTGATTCACAAGAGTTATTAATAGCTACTGGTTCACAAGATAGTACTATAAGATTGTACAAAATTTCTCGCAAAAGCATTGCTAGCAGTGAAATTACAACAAATGATGAATTGAAACTAAAAAAACAAAATTTTTTTCTTCATGATCATGAATATGAAATAGTTTTAGAAAGTATTTTATGTGCTCATGATTCTTGGATTTATGAAGTGCATTGGCATCCTTTATTAAAGAAAGATAATAAAAATTGTCAACCACTGAAATTGTTATCATGTTCTTTAGATAAAACAGCAATCATCTGGGAACCTAGCAAAAATGCTGGTATTTGGTCTGAAACTGTCAGGGTTGGAGAGGTGGGTGGTAATTCATTAGGATTTTATGGATGTAAATTTGGTCCTCAAGGAAATAGTATTTTAACATATGGTTACCATGGGTCTTTCCACATGTGGAAATTCGATGAAAATTCTCAAAATTGGAAGCCAAAACCTGCACCGAGTGGTCACTTTAATAGTGTAGTAGATCTTTGCTGGGATTCTAAAGGAAGGTTAAAAAATATATGTTTTTATGTAAAAGAATGTTGAAATAATTTTTAAGAAAAATCTAAATAAATTATGTTTTTTTGTAGATTTTTTATATCAGTTAGCACTGATCAAACGACAAGAGTTCATGCACCCTGGTTGTTAGATGATGGTGAAGAATCTTGGCATGAAATTGGAAGGCCACAAATTCATGGTTATGATATGTCATGTATAGCTATTCTCAAACCTAACATTTTTGCTTCTGGAGCTGAAGAAAAAGTTGTGAGAATTTTCACTGCTCCATTAAGTTTTAAAAATTATTTGGAAAAATTATGCAATGATATTGCTGATTTTGACATTAACGTAAAGGTTGAAGGAGCATCTGTGCCTGCTTTAGGTTTAACAAATAAGGCAGTCACAGATGAATTAAGTAATGATCAAGTTGACCAAAATAAAACAGAAAACTCCTTAGGAAAGCTGAATTATAACGAACCTCCTGTTGAAGAAGATATAGTCAGATACACTCTTTGGCCAGAGCTCCAGAAACTTTATGGACATGGTTATGAAATTTTTTCAATTGCAGCACGTTATGATGGAAAAGTTCTTGCAACCTCTTCTAAATCTTCCTGTCCGGAGCATGCTGTAATAATCTTGTGGGATACAACAGCTTGGCATCAACCACAAAAATTATTCGCTCATCATTTAACTGTTACACAGCTGGCATTTTCACCTGATGGACAATACCTTCTTTCTGTATCAAGAGATCGAAGATGGGCCCTTTTCGCATTGCAAGATGAAAAATATGAACTTTTAGTAATGAGTCCTAAGAAGGATAGTCTTCATGCTCGTATTATTTGGTGTTGTGCATGGACAAGTGACTCAAAGTATTTTGCAACAGGTTCTAGAGATGGAAAAATTGGAATCTGGAGTGTGGACAAACTTGATAGTCAACAACCAACTGCAATAACCAGTTTAACTTTGACTCATACTTCTATCACAGCTGTTGCTTTTGCACCACTAGACAATCAAGATGATGAATTAATGTATGTTATAGCAATGGGCTTTGAAAATGGATGTATAGATATTAGAAAAATTAAAAAAACAAATGAATCTTACAGTTGGTTACAAATAGTGCACTTAAATCAGTCTGAAGCTCATCATATGACTGTGAAAAGAATTACTTTCCGCCCAATGCACAAAAACCAACAAAAGAATAAATTACAATTTGCAAGTTGTGGAGCTGATAATATAATAAAAGTACACGATTTACTGTTGAACTAATAATACACTATAACAATCTTGCTAATATTTTATAAACAATATTAAATAAACATTTTATACTATTTAGCAAAACATCAACTATTAAATAATTATTAGAAGTTGCTTACCCTACTCAACTTCCAATCTCTTGTTTTATAAATATCAACATTGTCTTGTCCTGTTTCAGTAACTATGAGAGCCAAATACTTTCCATTCGGGCTAAATTCAATACCTTTTGTAGCACTAGATTTCAAACACTGAATATACATTACACTGTGATCAATTAAAGACCATATGGACAATTGTACCTAAAATAATAGATTTGATATTAATAGGAATATTAAACAAAACGATTTGATATAAATATAAAATTGTAAAATAATAATACATTTAAGTCTGCCAATGTGATAATGTGTCTGCTATCTGGAGTCCACATGACATTTTCAAGTCCACTGCTTCCTTCGGTCAATTTAAATTTCCAGTCAGGATAGCTTATAGAAAATATTTGAACGACTGCTTTCTTGAAACTATAACAAACTATATATTCACTATCTGGAGACCACTCCATTCCCTAAAAACAAAATAATGCAGCCTATTATATTCATATGTGTAAAAATGGTTAAAAATTCTATTGTTGGTCAAATTGTTGATCATCTGTATTTAATTAATAATAAATAAAAATTTATTATAAAATTAGACTAACCTCGATGATATCGTCGAAAACAAATGTTAGATAGTCATCAAATGTTCCAGTATTTTTGATTATCAAATTCGATTGATTGGCTAAGGCCAAAAATCGGCTGTCTGCGGAAAAACTGCATAATTGTTTGTTGATCCGCAAAAGTTGATAAGATTTATCGTAATTGAACATGGGTTTGCAGCATGAAATACAGTTTCCGCCAAAAACTAAATTTCCCGACATAAACATAAACAGTGCAAGACGCGCATGCGCATCGCTTACGAAATGGTCCGCTTGCACTGATAGTACTCAGCACTCTCAACAATCAACATAGTAGTTTCAGTTTGCAGTTGAGCATACAATTGCCGTGTTCATTAAAATAAAAATGAATGAGACAGCCACTGCATTAATCGTAATAAGTTCAACATAAAACTTTCACTTGATACGAAAGCTCATCTGAAATGATTTTTCGTGCAAATTGTAAAAGCATTTTCAGCTAAAATTGTATAAAAAACGATTCGATAAAAAGGAATAAAAAGAATAGAAGAGGCGTTAAGAGAAATAGTGGATGCGTGAATTGTTGCTTAACGGAAGAAACTGTGGGTCTGAAAGGATAAATGCAAAGAACAAGTATTATGTAGATTGCAGCGCAGTGAGAGTGCGTGCGCGAATGTTGGTCCGGGTAAGAGCTATTATATAAAAGGGAAAGGACGATTGCAAGGCGAATCGTGCGTTATATATACGTGTGTGTGTACATATATATAGGTACAATTTGTAAGAAGCATGCAGCTATGCATGAGCAGCCGCGACCACAGCGACGGGTGTGAGTGAGGCAGACTGAGATCGAGAGAGCGGCGGTAAAAGTCGAGTGAGCCGCGCGGTCAGTGAGTGCGCAGTCGTCGTAAGCGGCTGATCGCAGACGGTAGTCAGTAATTATCTTTTGAGCTTGTCCTCTGTCTGTCTGACTGTCTCTTTCTCTCTGTCTCTCTATCTCTCTCTGTCTCTCTCTCTTTCTCTGTCTCTTTCTCTATCTATCTCTATCTCTCTCTCTCTCTCTCTCTCTCTCTCTCTCTCTCTCTCTCTCTCTCTCTCTCTCTCTCTCTCTCTCTCTCTCTCTCTCTCTGCCGTTGCGGTTGTGAAACGGTAGTTTGCGTCGGAGCGTGGCTGCGCGCGAGCAACATAAGACTTCTGCAATGAAGAACGCGCTACACGCGACGGACGAGCCGACGGCCACGGCCACGGCTTGGAGGTTGTCGGAAGAGACGATGAACGAGGAGCTACGTCAGGAGCGTCAGCGCTGCAGCTTCGAGCCGCAGGAGCTGACGCATCTGCTAGATGGCAGCCCCGAGAAAACGACGCTGCGCCGGGAACGAGGTACTCGCTCTCGCTGGTCTTTCGAATCGCCCGCCCCGTGCGCGATCACGCTTTCGCTTTCTTTTCTAAAACTTGCTAGACCATCTATCCGTCTCTCTCTCGCGCGCGCGCTCTTCTCTCTGCTTTCGCTTTCCGACGTCCCAGAGCTCTCACTCTCGTTTCTTCTGCACCCGATGACTTGGCAGCTGGCAGTCCATTCGTCATTATTTATCTCGGCGTGACTCACGACTTTTGATCGTTTCTACCACCTTTAATCGACGACTTGCTTGGAAAACTCAGCTTATCACATCTTTACAAAGTCACTGAAAGTCCACAGCAACAGTTCCATCATCGAATGCATTTATCTTTCAAGTTGTTTGATAACTCGATAATATTTGTTTTCGTCGTATCGAAATTCTTCAAGAAGCATTTCTCGCATGCTATATGATAGAAAGAGACAAATGTGTTTTGATGATATGCAGTAATTTTCTAAATATCTACCACACTGCTATCACAAACGATGAATAAATGTGTAAGCCATTCAGCTTTATCAGCGTTAAATTTGTATCGAGTTTGTTGCCGCAATGAACTGGCTTGGATGTCATTCTTAACGCGCTATAATTATAATCTACTTATCGCTCATTTTGCTTTGCCAAGATGGCCTTTTCCTTACCCATTTTTTCATCGATCACAATGCTTCATTTGTTTCCCATTAAAAAATACATTTGCAATAGTGCTCATTACACTTCTCTTCTATTATTTGACATCCGACCGATGAAGGTCACGTCTGACATTTTTATAAAAAATACCAAGGTGGAAGAGCCAGGATAGGTCTGTGAGCAACCGGTTCTGCTAATTTTATTACGAAAACGCCTAGTTTGATCGCGAATCGATATAACGTAGCACATTTCACTAAACTACATTGAAAACATTGATTGTCATACAGAAAAATGTCAGATGATAGTATTTTAAAGGTTCAGACGATGTTTCTTATAATGAAATATAAATTACTGTGAGAAAAAGGCAATGTAATAAGTACGAGACATGGTAATCGAGTAGGTCGCCGGCCGACTTCAGTAGACTTTCCGTATCGAACGACCTTGGCACCCGGCAAGCATATCATTTTAATTTCATAGCCTAATAAATATGCATGTTATGTCTGCCGTGGCAATGACAAATCTTTTTTCATTTATTTGTCCATAAATTATTTGCGACCACAACTATTACTTGTTCATCATGTTACATCTGTAAAGTCAAACGACATTTCGCTTTAGCTCTTTTTCACAGCATCAATTATAACTCTCAACCGACTGCTTAGTACGATTTCTATATATGGTAGTTTACTGTTCGCTTAAAGTACAAGTTGGTTGCGATAAGTTTATTGTTTTTCCTTTTTGTTTACCTATTCATCGATGAGGGGTAAACGAAGTGAACCTATGAAACTTTGATAGTCTCGCTGTTGTCTGCTTGCAATTGCATGAATATTTACGACGACAAGATTTTATTCTCGCGAAAACCACTGCTAAGTCTGAGAAATGTCATGCTACTTCGGGCGGGAATTGAGGCCGGCGGTACTCGATACGAGCTAAAAAAACGAGTGGAGACGAAAAACCAGTTTGATGGAACCGAACGCCTCGAGTATTCCAGCATAACAGCTTGTTTGTCGATTCACTGGCAATCGTAAGCCTTCACCGAAAACCGAACATTGTTTTGCGAAATTTTCTTTCATAGCCTAGAAATTGCTTGTTTCACAATGACGAATGACTCGCTGGCTTTATCCATTCCTTCGAAAATGGTATCAATAAAAATAAGTATAATTAAGACGACACAACGTTTGTCAAAGATGTGTTGGAAAAGCTGCATTATTTACTATAAGTATTGCTATGATATTTGTCAACAGAGGAATACTTCTTGAGCGATCCGGAGTTGTCGGATAAAGTTCCTGCAAAGTACAAAAGTCACAAGGAAGTCTACGAAGACGCCGTTCGCAAGGGATGCCTAATTTTGAAAAAGGTGCGGGAACTTCAAAATATGGGAAAGGGAGACATGGATGTGTTCACGTAAGTGTCCGTTCGCAATTGAATTTGATGTATCTTGTCGGTGGGCTTGTCGGAAGCGTCAATGCGTCCCGCGAGCAATGAACAAGCAAGTGTCGACGGATACAGGCAGGTGCTGGGCGGCACTCTCGGCTCGGCGATACTCAAAGACGGGAACCCCTTGTCGTTGCACTGGGTGATGTTCATCCCAGCCATCATGGGCCAAGGTAGCGTCGAGCAGCAGGGCTACTGGATAGCGCGAGCCTGGTCGTCCGAGATCATCGGCACTTACGCGCAAGTACGTTGAGTCACGATCGTTCGGGTGTCCCGTATACGCAAAGAAATGCAAAGAAATGCAAAGAAATGCAAAGAAATGCAAAGAAATCATCCCGGCCGATTGCCACAGACGGAACTCGGCCACGGAACGTTCATCAGGGGCTTGGAAACGACCGCGACTTACGAGCCGTCCAGCCAACAGTTCGTGCTCAATAGCCCAACGTTAACTTCGTACAAGTGGTGGCCAGGAGGACGTAAGTTCCTACTATCCACTAGTCGTTCTCGCCCGGTCGCGTCGCAAGACCCGCCACGTACAGCGGCTTCTGCTCGACAGTGGGACAGACGGCAAATTACGCCGTAGTCGTGGCGCAACTGTACACCAAGGGCGAGTGCAAGGGCATCCATCCGTTCATCGTGCAGATCAGGGACGAGGAGACGCACGAGCCGATGCCCGGTAATCGTCGCCAAACTTGCTAAATTCACCGTTTAACTAGAAACTTTGACGATCGACCGGTTCGCCTCGGCAGGCATCAAGATCGGCGAAATCGGCACGAAGCTGGGAATGAACGCGGTGAACAACGGCTTCCTCGGCTTCGACAACGTTAGGATCCCCAGAGAGCAGATGCTCATGAAAAACTCGAAGGTGCGCGGCGTCGATCGAGCCTGACCGCCCGGAATGACGCCCTGTCACGCGGCTGTTGCAGGTGCTGGAGGACGGCACCTACGTGAAGGCCCCTTCGGACAAGCTGACCTACGGCACGATGATGTTCGTGAGGGTGGTCATAGTGAGGGACGTGGCGAGGTATCTGGCGAAGGCGGCCACGATCGCCATCAGGTACAGCGTGGTGCGCAGGCAGGGCCAGGCGAAGCCCGAGTGAGTATCGCCGCGACGGCCGGGCCGCAGCGCACCGAGTGACCGCGCATCGTGAACTGTCCAGCGGCCCGGAGACGCAGATCATAGACTACGTGACGCAGCAGCACAAACTGTTCCCCAACTTGGCCGCGTGCTTCGCGCTCGTCTGGGCGGCCGACTGGATCTGGGAGATGTACAATAACGTGACCGCCGAGCTGGACCAGGGCGAGCTGGAGCGGCTGCCGGAGCTGCACGCGCTGGCCTGCTGCCTGAAGGCCGTGGCCACGGCCGACGCGGCCGGCGGCGTGGAGCAGCTGCGGCTGGCCTGCGGCGGCCACGGTTACATGGACGCGAGCAACCTGCCGGCCACCTACGGCCTCGTCACCGCGGCCTGCACCTACGAGGGCGAGAACACGGTGCTGCTGCTGCAGACCGCGCGCTACCTCGTCAAGGCCCGGCGCCAGGCCGTGAGCGGCGACGCGCTGCCGCCCACGGTCGACTACCTGCAGCTGCTCTCGCGCAGGTCCAAGCAGCGCCCCTGGAGGAACAGCTCCGACTGCGTCGTCAGGGCCCATCAGGCCGTCGCCGCCGGGTAGGTGGTAGCCCTCCCCCCTCGCCCGGACTCGAGCGCCGCCTAACGCCCCGCTGTGCTCGCGCGCCCGCAGGAAAATCAAGCAGGCCGCGGACAACCTGGACCGGCGGTTGCGCTGCGGCCTGGCCCCCGAGGACGCCTGGAACGAGACCAGTATCGAGCTGGCCCAGGCGGCCGAGGCGCACTGCCGGGCCTTCATCGTGCTGCGTTTCGTCGAGGCCGTCAGGGCCCTCGCTGCCAGCCTGTCCAGGCCCCTGCACCAGGCGCTGCTCGACCTCTGCGAACTCTACCTCGCCAACTCCGTTCTGCTGCGCCTCGGCGACTTCTTGCGCGTGAGTCTTCTCCGCTGCTTGCCTTCTGCCGGCACTCGCTCTTTGCCCCGACTGACCGAGCCTCGCCGCTGCCCTGCAGTTTTCCTGCCTCCAAAACCAAGACGTGCCCGGCCTGCAGAGGAGGCTCGAGGAGCTGCTGGCGCTCGTGCGAGTCAACGCCGTCGGCATCGTCGATGGTTTCGACATTCGCGATGAGATTCTCGGCTCGGCCCTCGGAGTTTACGACGGCAACGTTTATCAGCGACTCTACGACGAGGCCATGAAGAGTCCCCTCAACCAAGAGAAAGTCAACCAATCTTATCACAAGTACCTTAAGCCTTTCATGAAGAGTCATTTATAGTGTTCCGACTGATATTTTTCAGCCAACCTTCGTACCCAATTTATTCTCGCCCCGGGCACAATCCGTGTAAGTCAATGCACCACGCCATCAAACCAGGTTTTTATCAACATTCATCGTTTCAACATCCCTTGCTACCTTTTACAGAATCACTCTTTATCACGCAGTCATTTAATTTAAACCAATTTATCAAACCTATAATATTACATGATACGCAAATGGTATAACGGCTACACAATGTCAAATCAGATTCAGAGATCTTTCGAATCGGGAATTATATTATCTGTGGTGCACCACAAATTGAGATCATTCCAAGATTTTTTTACGTATTCGAAACTCAAAGTTACATTTGGCACATGCATGTAAATCGATTGATTCGTTAGAAAGATATGCGAGAAGATACGTCAAAAATTCAGATCGTACACCAACTTTCCTAAAACTCCTTTTTCAAATCAGCTAAAATACTTGAAGGTTTCAAATTTAGGTCATACCATGATCAAACCTATAAGATCGTGGATCGTATTTGCATGAATTATTATATATTTACAAAGGTAATATTTCCAATCTAATGTAAGAATGATAGTATTAGAGTTTTAACAATTGCTTGATTGCTAATGTTGTTACTAAATATTTAATTATCAAGTCGACTGAATTGAGCATCAGCTCGGTCGAAAGTATTGACTTATTGATCTAGAATTGTATTTTCGAATGTCTTCATAGAAATGTTTCTTGTGTTTCGGAGCAATTTTGAGATAGGTTGTACCACTTAAATTAAAAACCTTAAGCGATTTTCTTATATACTTTTTAAAGAGAAATCAAATAGAATCAATCTATTTGGACAATATTTTATTTTTTTCCGAAAAAACTGATTTATGAAGAACTTTAAAACTAAAAAGTAGTATTTTGAAGATTTGAGCTTCTAGAGCCAAAAATCTAAGAATGGTCTCCACTTTTGATGTACAAAAGGTAATATTTCTAATTCTAATTCGGATGTGATTTGAGATTGTTAGCCAGTTGTGCCTTTTATTAAAATGAAATAAATCGTGATTCATCATAAAAATAAGCCAATCATTTTTTATAAGTCTCGAAAATTAAAAAAAAAATTATGGCTTAAGTGCTACAATGAAAGGTTCGTAAACAAAGCAGGACTATTTATAATATAACAAGAGTAGAAAACAGCAAGTTTAAATGGATTCATCGTTGTTCGTCAACTTATTATTGTCAAACCCTTCTAGGTTCTTATAAGAGAACTTGGTATGTAGTACAATGAATTGAAAGTTTATGTAAGTACATTTTTTTAGTTGTATCGATATTGAGTGGAATAAATTTCTTTGCTTACTTATCCATGTCAAAGGACATCGCAACACTTTACGTGAGTGTTTCTTTGTACATGAAGTTCATCAAATGTTAAGTTTGTCAATTTTTTAAATATAAATTTAGTTAGTTATTTATAGGAAGGTATACGGGAGATATCAATGAGATTATAAATTTTCACATTTATTTTTTTATCAATACTGTTAAAAAATAAAGAAAAATAAATACATACACTTCAACTTGAGTATTTTATCCGAGAATCCCTTTTTGATCAAAAAAATATCTACATTTGAAGACTTTTTGCTTGAATGTTTTATAACAGTACAAAACGATTGTAAATGTTGATAAAAACTTGAATATATTTTTAGATCTTGAAATTTGATCACTTGCAATGTTAATTAAAAATTGGCTTAATGATAGGATGTAAACATAAAAACAAAGTTATTCAATGGATTGTTTATTACAAGACATAAATGTAAAATGTTATAATTAAACGCTAAGATATCTTGATAAGTAATGGAACAAATTGTAGTAAATAATTAATGTTACTTAAGAGGTTTACATTTTTTATATGTTGAAATCACAAAACTGAATACAAGATCTTCTTCAAAATAAGATAATGAATATATGCTTAAAAATAGCATTTGAACGAAAAAAAAAACAAATTTTCCAAAAACAATAAACACAATCAAGTTTTATATGCAGGATTTGCTCAGTTTGTTAACTGTATACATATATGAACGTTATATATGAAGGTATTTGATGTTAAACGTAACTTCAAACTGAGCAAAAATGATGACATGTACAACAATAACATTTTCTTGATTTTATCGTTTAAAAAAGATATTTTAAAGCTACCACATATTAAAATTTTCAAGTGCTGAATATTTTTTCTTTTCAAATAAAAAAAGTTATGTTTACAAGCAAAAAATATCAAAATAAAAAAACATCACATTTCGTTGAATATGTGCATTACAATGAAGACATCAAGTGAAAGTGTTTTGCACAAAACCTGATACTGATAAAATCAATATTTAATATTGTTTTGATAATAGTCATGTTAATAATAATCAAATTATAAGCTCAATTATTTATATTTAAAGATAACTTACATTCAAAATCTTATTGGAAAAATATCATGAATTTGAAATAAAAAATAAAATTGAATGTAAACAACTTTTTTACAAAAAGTATAAAGTTTTTTGTAGACTTTTGTGTGGGGATTGCTGCAAAGTTTGAGAGGCGAAAAATGCTAATTTATGTGCATATTGACAAGGTGCTGGTACTCTTATAGTAGAAGCTAAGTTAAAGTACAGATGGCATAATTTGAAAGTTACCATCTGTAGCTTATCCGGTGGGATCCCGGTACAATCTTCAATTACATTATAAGCTGTTGGAGCAACAGTTCCTTGTTTGACATTTTGTGATACAATGAAAAAATCATATTTTAACGGATCTGTAATCACGTCATCTACTACGGTACCAGGTGGCGGATTTTGTTTGTTTAAAAAGATTCTAGTATTAATGCGCTTAGTAACAATAATAACACCAAGCTTAAATCGTCCACGCCCTTCATAAATTGCAGCAAGCTTCTTTCTGATCTCTTGCACTTCATGGTTATAGACAAATGGTATCTGACCTTCTCCAACACCATCACGGTAGATTAGTATACAAGAGGGTAATCTATTACGATTTTCTTTGGCAAATTCTTCAAGTGCTCGCATAAGTTGTATAGATAAGTCATTCGAAAGCTCTTCGCCCGAACTATGTTGACTGACTGTAGAGAAATAACGGCCAAAATTTTGATCCAGAGAAGCAACCATAGCGCCTGCAAATAAAAATCTTTATTCGACACAATTGTGCTAATGTTTTATACTACAACATATCTATAATTAATTACGATTGATTAATGAATTAATCATTAAAAGTTTAAGCTATACGAAAAAATTTCATCTTTATGATGAAACTGGACTAGTATGTAATAGTACATTACGATACAAATGCGGGAAAGTAGATTCTTGTCTCGTGTGGCGTTTACGTCCGAGCGAAGCGTGGGTGGAAAGGTACACGAAACGAGAAATTCTGTCTCAATATGTGCCGTACCATATTTTTTGATACCACGTGTGTAAAGTGCGATTTTCAACGCATGTTTTCTGTCGAGCGTGCGGAAAATATGCACTATGCGCACGGAGTATCGAAAAATATATTATTTAAATTATCTTACCGTAAGATGCGTTCGCCCTTTTATCATGACAAACGTCGTATCCAACAATCATCAATCCTGGTAAAAATGCACTAAGCTTAATCGTCCAAGGTATTCCACCGATTTTACAATTCAATTGTGTAGCTACTTTACTTGTAACTGTAATCACATTCTTTGCAGTTATAGTTCTGGCAAGAATTACTTGACTTGGTATTGGTCTGTCAATGCATAATTTCTTTTTAATCAGTGCATATCTCATAGCTAGGTTGCTGGTAACTACACAAAAAATAAGTTGAGGCATTGATCCATTTGTGACTTGTGCTAGTGCAGTAGAGTATATATCAATGTTGTCTTCTGGAATTTCTTTTATTCTTGGCTTAGTCATTTTAAAACCACATTTAGCTGCAGCATGTATTGTATTAGTCATGAAACTCTAATTAAACGATAAGAATCATTATTAATTATTTTCTGAATAATTGTTTGGAATTTGATTAATTCTCAACATTAAATGAATTGTTATGGATTGTTAGTTATTATCAGAATATAATTACGTACGCAAAATGCTGATATCAAGCGCTTTGGAACAATCGCCACCCAATCATTCAACACTCCCACCTTTAAATGCACTGTAGTTAGAAGTGGTTGAGTCCAATCTGCATCTTTCACTGCCAGGCTTTTATTATCACCAAAAATAATTTCCTCTTCTGGCAAAACACGTCCTTCTAACTCTACAAGCTTGTTGTCTATATTCAAATTCCATTCTTTAAAGTCTTTAATAACTTCAGGTTGAGTTTTTAGACGATGGTTGAATTCCATTAATTTATTTATTCTCTCAGAGGGTGCAACTCTAGTGTACCTTGCCAGTGCTGCCATCGTCTTAAATTCACAGATCATATTATCCGATATACCTGAAAATTGTAATTTTATTATATTTACTTGTGACAATTTTTTTTATCCAATTACATAAGTTACTGTAAACTTACCAGTACTTCGACACAGTTCAGGTATTAAATATATTAATTCATCTTGACCAGCCCTTCTTTCACGCATTTTAGACTTTGACACCAAAAGAGGTTGCCTCATATCCCTAATCTGAATTTGATACTTCTGTTTATAATAAGCAGCATATGTAATCTCACTACGATCTTTCTGTTTGAAAGTACTTAATGGATTTACACTAAAATCGACATCATCCACTCTGTAAGTACGGTTATTATAAGCCGTAAGTACAACACATCCAAGTACTCTATTTTGATACAGTCTCTGCAAAAATATGTATTCATCTATAATGATTGAAATATAAGTATTTCATAATTATGTTAAAATTATTTATAATCTTCTGTTTTATCCTTATGGTTATTATCAGAACAGTACTCACTTGATAGTTACTTCTATTTTTATCCAAACATTCTACCAAGACTTCCAACAGTGTCTCATCCCGCATTACTTTGTGAGATATTTCAGCACACATCAAGATACTTTGTTCATGTTGTCTTATAGATGTTATATATCCAGGCCAAAGTTCAAATTTAAATTCTGGAACTTTTATCTGTTGAACACGTATTAATTATATCTTTATTTTAAGTATAAATTAGTAATCAAAATATTACACGACTTAATGTATTTAATATCATCCAATTAGTTTAATTAATGGTATAAAAAATAGATATGCAAAAGAATAATAGATAACTTGTATTTTCCAGAGCACAATCATTTATAAATGTCTTTATCTATTCCTAATATATTATTTAAACAAAAGAAAAATCTAAGCTTACTTACTTTGCAGGTAGCATCAAAATAGTTTCTACCAACCAATTGTAATTTTAAGTGCTCTTCCAAAGTTTTTCTAATTAGTAGACTATAAATCTGGGAGTAATGGTAGTCACCTTTGACCACATCACCAACCAAGCGAATTGTAATATTCATAGGCTCTTTATCATTTTGTCTGATTGAATTCAGTTCCATTGGCTGGAGTGAGAAAACAGACGTGATTTAACAATCTAAATGATGATATCCTATATGATAATGCAGCTTTTAAATGTACATTTAATCTGCTGCTAAAAATATGTGTATAATATTTTTTATTACAGACATAACAGCAAATATTAAGTAAAAATTAGCAATGCACATTCACACATATATATATATATATATATATAGTTTCCATGGAATATAAATAGGAAGATACCATTGACTTACATGCCTCTTGTTAAAATAATTTACATAATAAAATAATTTATATATAAAACAATAATGAACAGTTTTAGGAATTCATGACATTTATGATGGATAAAAAAGATAATAAAACAAAATTGTATTTTGGAAACAAACTGTAAACTTAACATAAATTTGAGATTGAATCAAATATGATAAATTTATATAATAAATGAATTATATAGATATAATCAAATACCTGTGGAAGTGGATTGCTAGTATATAAAACAGTTCCATCGAAAATATATCCACCTATAGCAGCTTTATGTGTTCTCAACAAAGCTTTGCGATAAATAGTTCTTGTTTCTTCAGGTGCAATGTCTACCCTGTATTGATAGAGACACCAATCAGGTTGACTATTGACCCTGAAATAATTAGCCTGAAGTCGCAGTCTACTGCCAGTAGTGCCTGAAATATTTTAGTACAAATTAAGTACTATTACTTTCAAGTAATAGTTGTCACAATGCAGAAATATTTATCATAAATATTTTACCTTTCTTTGTTTGCAAAGTTTGTGGACGTGTATTCACCTCATTAACAGGTGCTGGTCTACGATCCTTGATTGGAGGTTCAGCTGAAGCCATGATCCCTTTGCTAGAAGGAAACAAAACTCATAAAAAACAAGTACTAAAATGATTATAAATGGCAATGGATAATGAATAAACCACCTTAAAAACTTAAAAAAATTAATATTTTTGAAAAAATCTTTTGAGATAATTCTAATACGATAAAGAATATACTATCATAAGCTAAAGGTTGTCTAAAATAATTTCATTCACTGTAGGTATTGCTTTATATTTTCAAAATATTTGAGTAATGGTTGACAAAAAACTTACAAAATGAAAACCGGTAAACAGCCGAACTCAACAATGTAAACTTCAATATGAACAATAAAGATGACGTTCAACTCGACATAAAACAAAATTATATTTACGAACTATCAAATATGTAAATATTGATTCAAACTTGGATAGAGCACATTGAAGGCCAACATTTGTAAAAAAAAAACTTTCGACACTCCCGCACGCTCGGCAAAAAACGTGCGTTGAAAATCGCAATTTCCTCACGTCGTATCAAAAAATACGGTACGGCACATGTTCGGGAGAGTTTCTCGTCTCGTGTACCATTCCACTCTCGCTTCGCTCGGGCGTAAACGGTACACGAGACTAGAATCTACTTTCCCGCACTTGTATCGTAATGTACTATATCAAATAAAGAGATGCATACGGTATCAATTAATACTCCCGAGAAATCGGATAAATTGTTAACGATCAAACCGCGAGCTCGGTATAGATGTTTTTAAGGATATCAATTCATGTCTTGAAAAGTACTATAAATAAAGTATCAAATACAGTAAAATTGTTGAAGGGAAAAAAGAAAAATATATACGAAGTAAAATAAAACGTAATTGGCTCACTTGCTTCCCTAAGAGTATCAAATGCTGCGTTTATAAAAAATGTTGGATCACAAAGGATACGGTACCAATTGTTGGTGAAATACTAACTAGAGACGTCTACACAAAAAATATAACAATATATTAAGGGCGTTTTTGACTTTTTGATCGTCAATATATGCTCGACAACCTCTTCCTCCAAGCGCTCCGACTGTACTGTTGTAAGCAATAGACGTTTGACGACGTGACTAACACGACCACGACACTGCGCTGGCTGACGAGAAAGAGCAGAGGAAGAGTGCACGGTGTTTTTGCTGCTCTTCAAATTCACCGTCCCCACTCAATTCTACTGGTACAAACACGTGCGTCGCTTGTAAATGCAGGTTTATTCCTCGTATTTCGACGCGATAAAGTCAACTATAAACAAGCCAATTTCTGGAAAAGTATAATGATAAAAAGTTTTATAGAGGACAGAAACCGCAATTCGCTGTGAAAGACAAAAGAAAGGATATCCGATAAGGTGTTGCAAATGACCGTGAGTGCAAATAGATTACAAGAAAAAATGTTTTTTAAAAGATCTAATAAGTTGAACTGTTAAAATTTTCAACAAAAATTTCAACATTTGAAAACAGAGAAAAAAGACAAACAAAAATGCTTAGTGGAGTAGACGGCGGTTGTATAGGATATGGTTACACAGTGTCGAATTATATACTGACATAGGCAGTAAAATCTTGGAAATCTGTAAATTTGTAGAGGATTTTATGGCTCGAATAGTTTCTTTTTGAAGGGTCTTCGGACTTGGACTGAGCTATTTTTAACGGTCTTAAAACTTTCTGAAATCTTTATGGCCTTGAAAAGTGGAAATTTTCTAATGCCGTTTAAATGTCTAACGATGCCGAATTCTAAAATTATCGACGATTCTAAAATAATATTAATGTTATCAATACAAGATGTACACTATAAATACGTCGATCATCTGACAATCATACAAAAGTGCTCCTATAAAACATTTTGTATCTTCGCTTCAATCCTCCATTTATTTTATGGAAAGAGTTTCTTGGACTCGTTCTTCGGCCGTCCTATTAAATATATTAAATACTCACTTTTTGTGTCTTTTTAATTTTCATAAACATATATAACAGCTGTATTTTCTATTTTATATACTTTGTCGTCATATTTTATCATTGGTTTTTGTATGTGGCACATTTCAAACTATTATGATCAGTTCTGAATAGGGTATTGATGACTGATTTTGCTAAAATTCAGAGTTCTAATATATTCCTCAAATTCTTAACTTTTTTAAACGAACCAATTTATTATTAAATTAGAGCAACAAAATTTTGGTTACTTATAGAAAAGAAAAATATAACTACAATTTTCTAGATATTACAAAAAAGATACTTTCAGTTCTAATTAGAAAAGTCTCCTTAAATTATCAGGAATATGAAACACAATATGAAGACGAAACGAACTGTTTAGTTTCTCATTGTTTTATTATATATATCTTGTTTTCTTATACGATACAGCATTTATTTACAGAATATGATCGACGACATAGAATATTATTTTGTTATCATTACTAATTCTAGTGCAATTATTATTAATTCTCCGGTTAATCAATAATAACATGTTTTATTATTTCAAAGCGCAACAATTACGTCACTGCAATAGAAATTGCATTCATGAATTTATTTCTGCTGTATATAATTGGCTCTTCACTTCCTCGAAAGCAAAAAAAATGATTTATGAACAAACAAGACACTTTTGATATCAATCGTCATTAATTTATCAGACGACTAACTCAAGCTTTCAATTTTCAATTACAGCTATCGAAATCATTTGCAGATATGTCATTCTAACAGTGAATTAAAATAATTAGTTTCTGAATAGTTTGCATATTATAAGATGAAATAGTATTTTTACACTGAAGTTTGAACTATCGACGTTATGCAACAAGTCAAGTCGACTATGAATCTTTCATATGTCGCGATAAAATTAGAATATAAATATTGAAAATTATATCTGTAAAATTTCGAGAAATTATTACATGTTTATCTATGAAATTTGTAAATCAACATTTTACATTAAAAAGAAAGCATTGCGATTGTAGTTAACAAAAACGAATTTGATCGCTTAACGCGTTTCTATTGATTTCATCTCAAAAGGCGCTGCCTTGTTGCAAAGTCATGCTCAGACGCATATACATCGTTTTTTTTTCGGTTTTTTGCTTTCGCTTTCAAACCCCACTGTCGTGAGTGCGTGTATGCAGATAAATATATACACATATATGTAATACATATACTTATATGCTATTCAGGATTGACAGGGAACAGGGACGAGGTGATGGGAGTATCAGAAGTCTCTGAATACTTACGTCTAGCTTAAAGATATCAATGAGCGTCAACGAAGGAAAATTTCGTAGACGCTGCTCGCTGATTCTCTTGACTTTTTTCCCCACGTTTGTTATTTTCTTAGTTAACAATCTCCTTTCTTGGAGTTATTATACCTCTTATAAAATATTCTTTATTGTAATTACAATGATTAATAATTAATTCTACTAATTATTATTAAAGTATTGAATTGAACTTAAATACAGACGGTATTCTCTTCTTTCGACAACTTCCTTTAGATAAGTCAATGTCATCTATGTAATTCAATTTTCAGTATAAATTTTGACTAATTACATGTGACAGTCAATGCTAGTTACATAGAAAAATGATTTGTATATCTATCCATATCTTTCCGTTTTTTTTCACACCCTATTATTTATTACGCAATAAATAATAATCTTTTAATTATAAAAAAGACTACTAGTTAATATTTTCTTCGTTAAAGTTCCGTTTCATATAGTTTTAATTAATTTGTTAGAGCAAACAGGCAGGGGAGTAGTAAAGCGCTTTTACTGGTTTTTTAACTACCATGAATGAATTCATGTGTAGCTGTTTATATGAAATCATTTCATTAGGAAATAATTAAAATATTCAAAAGCTATGACTATTTTCAGAGCAAATCAGTAGGTGAAGAAGAATGATTACATTGCAAAATGTTAGAATATAAAAAAGTAGGTAGCAAAAGAAAACTTATGAAAATTTTATAAAATAATTAAAATATAGACATGCTACGTGTACAATTATGCTTTTATAATAATAAATTAACGTTTACAAAAAATAAACAGAAAAACGAGTACGCTGCACACGATTTAAATACGACTTTATCTAATTTAAGTAATTTCGTTTGTTCTGTGTCAATGTTTCCGTTTACTTTTCTACAATAATTCTTCATAAATATTTTTATAACGATTCGTTACTTCACTCACAAAAAAATATAGCGACAATGGTAGAAGACAAACAAAAACATCAAAAGATGCATCGCATCGCCTATAAAAAACAAATGGCACCAAAAATCCAATTTGTATAATCACCCGTGTTTTACAATGATACTGAATACGTAAAGTTTCTTTTATTCTGTTATGCACAATTATCAGTTTTTCCTGTGTCATGGTTCAAGATATAAAATTTACAGTTTATTAAAATACATTAATGAACCTTCAAAAACACGAACCATGAAAAAAATCGAAATGCAAACTGGTTTCTTCATCTTCCAGACTCTCGTGACATGTAAAAAATTTAACAACAATAACCATTGCAGAGTCTAGGAAAACATCAAAGTTATCCAGTATATAACTGAAATGTGAAAAAAATAATACGGTTCAAATATGCAATTCAGCCTCAAATGATGTATAACATGATTAGTCGTTTGTAATAAAAATGTAACAGTTATCGAAGAACGATTTACAATTGAAGAAAGAAGAAATAAAACGCAGAGAAGTTATCAATGGCTTACTTATATACTAGAGGACGGGTAAGAAGATTGAAGAACGAATAAGATAGATCTAGACAGTTACGTGCGTTTGTTCTCGTATAAGGCGGGTTCGGTGGAAAATTGCATACCAAATTGCTTAAATAGTTATATAGGTGTAAATGGCAGTTTTAGTATGACATACATTTCCTTACATTTGATTTTTCTGAAACTTATCGTGAATAGATGCTTTTGACAGTAAAAATGTCTTATTAATCAATGCCCCGTGGTGATTAATTCATGGCTGATACATATCGCCTGAAATTTGATGTGCGTTGTCTCTAATAAAGCTATATAAAGCACGTAAAAGCAAATTGAATGAATAAAATGAGTAAGCAGCGATGTGAAAAGGAGGTGAAAATCTCTTTTCAAAATCGTCACATGCGTAGTTTTCAACGGCACACTGGGACGGATTTACGAGAATAAACAGATAGACAGGATGAAGAGAAATAGGATATAAGAGCCATGATCCATCTCTAACGTTCTCTCTCAATAGTGCTTGGCTATAGCTCCAAATGGATTGCCGACCAAACTTGGCGTTACGTTCGCAGTCCACAAGATTTACGCAATGAATATATATATGTATTTATAATAATTATATATATTTATATGGCAAAATCGTGTTGTTTTGTTTGTTTCTCTTGTCAGTCAGTCGAGGTTCGACCAGTGATAGCGTAGCATCCGTGTTGCAGGAATGTGTGTCGTAGGAGGCTTGATCGAGGGAGCACACGCACACATGTGCACAGAGAGAGAGAGAGAGAGAGAGGGGGGGGGCATAGATAGATGAGCGAGCGGGGATAACGATCTGGGACTCCGTTAACACGGGTCTACGTCCGTGTAGCGGTATAAAAGCTTGAAAGTTGAGTGACGCGCAAGTCACATGTTCGTAAGCACGCGTTCCTCCCTTTGTCTCCTTTACTCTGTCAGTTGAGGTACGCGAAAGAAGCTGTTCACGACTCGCAGATGGAAGAAAGTCGACCAAGAAGGGCACGTTGCAAAGTTGAGCTCGCCCAATGAGTAGGTGCTCGTTCGATGAGCAGTACGGCCGCCACGGCTCTCGACGAGTTTTACCATCCGCGAGCACGCGAGTGCAGTACCTCTTAAAAGTCAACTGATCGGTGAGAGACTTTCGAGACGATCCGAGACCTGCTCGGCTGAGTGGCGTGGCGAAGTGCAAAATTCGCCTGCCTTGGAGACTACAGAACCGTCGCAGAGTCGTACCAGTGTAAAGCAAGAGCAAGAGCGAGAGCGAGAGAGAGAGAGAGAGAGAGAGAGAGATAGAGAGAGAGAGAGGAGCGACGCGGTTGTCTCGTCGTAGCGCTTGTACGCAGTGCGGCTGCTCTGCCGCTGCTGCTATCCAGGTGGTGATGCACAGGTGGAGAAGCACCGTTAGCGTTGGCGCTGTTGTGCTGCTGCTGGCACTGGTGCTCTCCGCTTAAGCGTAGAACTCGCGGTTGTGCTGCGTAGCGCCGGGCTTGGGGTAAGTGTTCGCCGCAGGCGACCTTCGCGGCTCGTCCAACGCGTACGAGCCCTCATCCTTCTTGCGCATCCTGTACACAATGAACATGACCACGAGGATCGCGCACAACAGACCCACTACCGCGCCTCCAATGACCGCTGCAACGTCAACAAACACTGCAGTTAGTACAAGAACGTGGACCACCGTCGATAAAGTGACAATTAGAAAACGGAATGGGCTCGATTACCGGCTAATACACCAGGCTGAGCGAAGAACGAGCTCGTTCTGTCGCCGTGCTTCGTGTCCATCTTGTAAACGTCGTAGGAGTCTTCGCTGTCGTCGTCCTCGGCGCGGACCACTTCCTCGTCGCCACCTGGTCGCTTCTCAATCACATCGACTCCCGGCTCGGGTCGGTTCACAGCGTCGATGTTTGTCTGTAACGCAGCAAATAACGAAATAACGCGGTCATTCACTGACTAGCACTGTACAGTGCCTGTCTCGAGTGCTACCCTGGCAAGACTTACCTGTTTAGTCTTATGTATCGTTTCCTCGGTGATGATTCTCGTGTCAACTGGCTTATTGGGAACTGGCTCGATTGTATTGTGGTTATTGAACTCTGCGAATACAAGAAAGGTGGTTCCTTCAGTAAAGAACTTGGTTTCGGTGACGCGCGGAAAAAGTAGGATAATTCAAAGCCTTACCACTGCCGTCATCGCCGTCCTCGTCGTCGGGCCCGAGACCGCTGCCGGAGGCCTCGAGGTCGTCGCGGACTTCGCCGCCTCCCCGACCCGAGCCCTCTATTTCGTCTTGATCATCCAAGTAGATGTCGTCACCGAAGGAGTTGTACGTCGAGCTTCCCGTCGATTTCTCCTTCAAGTTCTGCTCCTTAATCTGCGAAGCAAGCACGAGGCAAGCGTGAGAAGAGAGAACGACAAGCGTTGCCAGGAGTGGGACTTTGCCGAGGAGGAGCGTCGCGTCAACTGGGTCGGTTCGACGGAACGAGCACTCGCGCGATCGGCTCAACGTGGAATCGGGCCGCCAGGCGAGCCGCAGAAACGCAGAAGCACGCGAGGTGCGGAGCCGCCGGAAAGGCCGTCGTCCCGTGGCCGGGAGACGAGCGATCGGCAGCTGCCGCGGGCGGCTCGGCTCGGCAGTCCCGGCCAGGGCGCGCGCCACGCGCGGACGAGCGAAGAGGCGGCAATCGATAAACGGCTCACCCCGAGTGGCTGACGAGCAGCAGGCTCCGCTGGAGGCTCACTGGCAAGCCGCGTCGACAGCGCGCCGAGTGCTCGAGTGCGGAGGCCGCGGCTGCTCGCAGCCGTCGAGCGCCTGGCTCGGATATCGACGTGCCGCCGCCGCCGCCGCCACCACGGACATTTGTCCCGCACCGTCACGGGAGTGCGCTCGCGCGGCAGCAGCCCAAAAATAATCAGCGGTCGACTCGACTGCTGGCGGCAGGCTCGCGCGCGCCGCTCCCTCGAGCCAGTCCGCGGGTGCACGGGACAGAGAGGGAGAGCACGCGACCTTGAGCCAAGTGGAGCGCGAGCGCGACCTGGACTCGCTCGGCCGCAAGCTCCGACGCGGGCTGCTCCCGACAGGAGGCGCTCCCGGCCGGCCCTCCTCGCTTCCTTCCTCGCTTGCTTCCTCGCTTGCTTCCTCGCTTGCTTCCTGGCTTGCTTCCTCGCTTCCTCCCTACCTGCCTGCCTGCCTGCCTGCCTGCCTGCCTGCCTGCCCGCCCGGCGTTTCAGTAGCCCTCGCCGGCTTCGCTTTCGCTCTTCTCCGCCTCCACTCTCCAGCGCGCCCTCGACAGTCGATGCCCGATCCGACGTCCGTGGCGCTGCGTCCGAGAGCCCGGTGGCCAACGGCAACGGTGTTGCTGCTCTCGCTCACCAGTCTGTTCGATGGCAATGTTGACGAGAGCATCATAGCCATCGAGGCCTTTCGATCAACAGTCGCTGGACATGTCATCCGCATTCGTCTCGTTTCCGTCGACTGACTGACCGACGGACAGACGCATGTATATGTAACAGTTGGTTGGATTGAGTGGTCAATGGCGGGAGAGAGAGAGAGACAGCGAGTGTGTCCGAATTGATACCGGCGACGGGTGCGAAAACATTCGGTAGAGAGAGAGTACGGGGAGCAGCAAGGCAGGCGAAAGATCCGCGCCGGCGCTGAATCAATACGAGAGCAAGCAGGTAGGCGAGGACGCCGCCCCCCGGCTAGACTGCTCTAACGCGAGCGGGAGGGAGAGAGCTTGCGCATCAGCCCCTCTTTCCCTCCTCGGCGTCGCACGCAGCATCAGACGGCCCGTCTGTATAGGCATCGACTGTCTAGTCTGGCGAGCCACATGCAGCCTACATTTTTCATGCTGCACGCACTGGTCGGCTCGCTCGCGCGACCCCGATCTGTCTTGGGCTTGACGATCCGTCGGGCGTCGCTACCACTTTTCGTCTCGCTGTCCCGACAATTCAAACTCCTCGCAACTAGTATCGAGCGAGGTGACGCGCGATGAATATGCACGGGCCCTCCGCCGCATTGTTTGGTTGCTGCTTCGGATTTCGGAGCGCAGCTTTCGCGCCTCCCGACAGATCTCGTCGCGCGACGTCCGCGCGAAGCTGCAGAGGAGCGCCAGCGAACAACTGGCCTTCCGCTCGTCCAGCGAATCGCGCGGAAGTCCGAGCGGGTCCAGTGACTCAGCAGCGATGCGTACGTTGGCTACAACCACCGGTGGACTTGCGAAAAATAGTGACGGACGCATTGCCAGCGTGATCGGGACCGCCACTGGCGCACGGACGGCGTTTGACCAAATCGATCGAAATCCGGCGTACCTATGACGTGACATTCTCAAAGTGCGTTGAATAAGACGTCGAGCGAAGGTCGCTCGACAGGCACGCCAGCAGTGACCTGGCTTGACAAGTTACGGCCGAGAACGAGCAGGAGCGGCCAAGATGAGAAGCAACGAAACAAGATTCAAAGTATTTCCGGGGCCCCCCATGGAGGCGCGCGCGCCTTTCTTTATCTCTCGCAGCAGGCTGCCCTGCCGTCTCGTTTGCACGCGCGCTCACCTCGCTGTGCGCATCCCTTCGACCGTTCTCCCTCGGCAAAGCTACGACAGCTGTTTCGTCGACTCGCAGCCCCGGTGGCCCCTTCCCGCTTCGATCTCGGAATATGCCACCTCGCGCGCGCTCTATCTCTCTCTCTCTCTCTCTCTCTCTCTCTCTCTCTCAGTTGCTCGGGCGTGCGATGCTCCGCGGCGCGCCGCCAGCCTTTCGCTTTCGACGTCGCCGCCCGCCGCGCACGCAAGAGTCAACGCCCAAACGAGAAAGAGGGATAAAAGACGAGACAGCCTCGTGCAAAATAAGGACATCGACCAAAGCCCGCCGGCACTGAAGCCATCACACGGGCCCCAAATTATCGAGCCGTGCGCGTAACACGCTTCGATCGCGGGAGCTCGTCCGAATCAGACGAGCAAGCACAATGGATTGCAGTCCGGATGGCGCTTCGAACTGACTGACGGAAGTGGCTCGCGGCTAGAAGCGTCAAAGTTTGGCCGGTGCGGTGCGCCGAGCACGCGCGCCCGCGAATTCCGAGCCGGCGCACCGACTGATCATCTTTGTAAACAAGAAGAGGAAGGGGTGCCGGCCCAGGCGTATTTCCAGAACGACGTCTGGCCTCGGCTTGGCGTCGAGTCAACGACGACGGTCGGCTCGCTCGTGCCGAGGACCAGCAGCGCTGCAAAGGCACGAGCAGCTCTCGCGAACGTCGGCGGCGGCCGGAAGGCAAATAAAAGGCGAGGCAGGCGCGAGCGGAACTCCCTCTCTCTCGCGCTGCTGCGAGTTGGCATCCGCCGTGAATGGAAATGCCAGTGCCACTCTCGCAGCAGCTCGTCTCTGACTTTCGACAGCGGCGGCAGCGAGAGCGAGCTTCTGCCCTACCTCCCTTTCGACGGTCTCGTCGGCGCGCTGCAGCTGTGCCGCTCCACGCAGAACGAGCGACTGTCTGTGGCGCAAGTCAAGTGAATCGATAGCCGAGAGCCGAGGTCGATGGCTGGCGCTGGCGCGGTCGCCGTCGCGCACTGCTTAGCAAAGGCCACGGTTCGCGAGGGCAGCCGACTCGGCCGACCGGACGCCCGCCAAACTTTTTCCATTCGCCAAGCCGAGCGGCTTCTGTCCGACTGCTGACTGGACGCCGGTGAGCCGTGCGACAAAGTAGAACACTCGAGCGCGAGAGCTGCATCGGCGGAAGCTCGCCTCCGGGACGGGCAACCAGTCGTCGTCGTCGTCGTCGTCGTCGTCGCCGCCGCCGCTCTGCAACGGGCCTGCGGACTCGCATCCGGCTGATAGCCGGCGGCGCCTGACGCGCGAGCGATCCCATTGTCCGTATCGGCGCTCCACGCCGCACAAAGGCGCTGCGTCTTCGGGACAAAAGTGGATGGCGAGCGACGACGCCGAGGAGGCTTGGAGCCAACGTGACGTCGCTCGGTACGGCGCCAATGCCCCCGGAAGAGGAACGCGGAGGAGCGGCGCTTCGGTATTTCAGCAGCCGCGGCACTCCTCGCAGCCACTTGGTTCTGACTCGCCGAGCGCGACGATGTCCTTGGCAGACTGTCACGCTCGGCTTCCCTCCTGGACTTTTCGGGCCGTCCAGGAGCTCGAGCTTGCGTCCGCGCAGATCAATGGGCACCGCGCCTCGGTCGAGTCAATCGCACGTTGTTTGTCGCTCGTGGTTGTACGCAGCCGCAAACGTTGCGTTGTTGCAACGTTCATATACGCACGTTCGCTTGTGCTTGCAGTTCGCGGCCTGCCGAGTGGCAGCCGGTCAGCACTAGGCGAGCACTGCGCGCTCTGAAAGTACTCGCGGTAACGGGGCGTATCGGGCGTCCGCGCGAGCAGGGCGCTCGGAGCGTCGGGAACGCGTCGCAGCCCGCGGCGACCTTGAGCCAGTCGGTCGCTCGTGCGTAGCTGGAACGCGCACTGCGGTCCTCGCGCGAGGCGATTCGACCGCTCCATCGACGCGCTCCGAGCGATTCGTAGTCGTACCCCGGGGGCCGCGCGGCCATCGCGCAACGATTTCGGAACGCTGGTCGCGGGCTCCGCTCGCACAAGGCGGAGCGATCGGACAGCGTAGGCTGGCGCATCGGCGCGTGTGCGCTTCGCCTGCGAGCACGGCGAGGCGCTGCGCCAGATTCGGGTCAACGACTCGCTCTCGCCGCGCGCGCGCGCGCTCTCTCCCTCGCAGCTCGCTGCTGCTTTTCCGACGCGCTCTCTCGCGTGCGCAATTGGTTGCCAGCAGCCGCTCGCGCGTACGCGAACCCCGCCAGGTCGCCGTCCGATCCGCGGCACGCCAGTCCGCGGACAAATCAGGCCGGCCTCTCGCAACCTGTTTTTCGCGCTCCGCCCGGCGGCACCCGGCAGTGGGCCGCCGATCCGCGGAGGCAGCCGAGGAGCTCCGACCGGCTCGAGCTTTGCAAGCTGCCGACGCCGAAGAGGCCGAGTCCGCGGAGTGTCGCCGCGGCTGGGCCGCCCGGCGAGCAGAGAGGCCTCGGATGGAGCAGCTGCGCGAGGTCGATGCACTCGTTTTATCGCGGCTCTTTTCTCCGCGAGCGAGCGCCACGTCCGATTACACTGGATGTCGAGACGCGTATCGAGCACGCGAGGGGCTCATTGCACCCATGAAGGTCGCGACGCGTACGAGACAGACCGATGGATCGGCGCGGGCCGCCGACCAAGCAGCCTGCCTTCTCGCATTCGGATCGTCCTCCGGTGTTTGCCGCGCAAACGGCGAATGTAGCGAGCTCTCGATCGGCCGCCAGTGGCGCGTCCCTGTGCTCGCTTCGACGCTCCCGTTCGACGCGAACTCTGCAGCTCGCCGACCAGCCCGTTACCGAACGC